TGTTAATGCAATATGAATGTGTATACAGTGATGTACATTCAATTTTTAAAATCTTTATTGTAATTTCGATTCAATTATGTTCGGTTAAATATATAAACAGTCGGGATTGAACGTTAATCGCTTGCGTCTGTTTATCACATTCTGCACGGGTTATTATTTTGTCGTTTGTGAATCAGTCATTTTTAATTCTTCAGAAGTGCCTATTGTAATATGTTTGGCTCTGTTAATTACAAATGGCGCTCGAAACCACAGAGTAAACCACGTCCTGTATTGATTTTAAAATATACATTATGTCTTAAATATTGAATATTAGGATTCCATATGCAACAATATGATTGAATGGACCAATATTGAATTGTAATTCGTGTTTAATAATTTCGAATATTATGGATACTATTGAGTTGGAGGTTTGGCTCGTTTAAATTATAGTTTTCCAAATGTTTATGTATCACTTTTAATGTGGAATAGTATTTTCATTGTTTGTATTTTTTAACATTTTCCAACGCTTTTGAATCATTTAAAGGTCCCGTTTTGGCCTTAAAACAATTAGTATAATCTAAAACAACGTGCATGTGTCCATAAGAAATAAGCAAGAGTTGATTTGTCATCCCGAGCCATGTATCTCGTCCATTCGGCACACCATGGAGGACTCCGGTATCCTACATCTTACCTCGGCTGTATGACGAATTCCACCATTGGAACTACTTATATATAGGTTCCCGCATTAAAAATGGTGGCCTCCATGAACGCTCCTGCGAAGAGTGATTATCTCAAGAAACTGTATACATCATACAAAGCTTTCAATGTCTGAAGCTGTATTTCTTTCAAGTCTATCCGATTTTCTTTAAACAAAGGATAACTTTGCTATGAAAACTCTACACCCTCTTCGAATCACGCCATTTTGAGAACTTCTTTACCGAATGGTATGTCGCTTATATCTTGAGTCCATGACGTTATATCAGGTAGCAGACGAATATAAACTTTTATAAAATATGCGACCCCGCCCAACAATTTTTGATATCAATTATTCTCTATTATCAACACCCTGTCAAATTTGGACGTAATCCCACTTTAAGGTACATGCATAGCAAACGCTTTAAGACGGAATTTTCGAAGTTTAGAATATATGATATATATGTATAAGTTATTCATAAATATTCAAAGTACAAGCAACTTATATAAACGCTTTCTATTAATATACAACAAACAGGTGTTTATCTATAGATGATCGAGGAGTCTATGTTAATAATTGTATCGATTTAGGATATAAGGCACATAATAATAAACCATTAAGTATTATTACACAGTCTATATATATTAATTAAAACTAATACCAAACCTAAGTTCGGTTTATTTTTTTACAAAGTCTTTTCCTTTTCTCAAAGTTCTAATAATCTCCATATAACAATTCTTATTAATCACCTTTTATTATCTTCTTCTACACAAGTCCTGTAAGACTTCTCATATTTTCAATTGTCCGGACTTCAAAGCAAACAAATGTCGACGGATATGGTTGATTCAACACACTCTTTCTTCTAAGTTTTCTTAAATTTTAAAATACAACTCGAACGGTACATAAATTTCAACTATCCCGATTTGAACAGAGTCTCAAAAATAAAAATCTGAGTTCGTATAAAATTTAAGCGCCAAAATATAGAGGAATGGTGTATTTACCCTGAGTCAAAATTTCAGCTCAAAATATTGAGTTGTTTGGACGTGAACGTCAAAAATGCTTATCCGGACACGTAACCCTTTTAAGATTTCTGGTCATTTTCTTTCGTTGGGTGACCTGATAATCTATCGCCGTTCCTTTAGAGGTCTATACAGTGAATGACCCATGTGCCGTACTGGATAACGAAACGTAAATTTCACCTTCACATTGTTTTTATAAAATAAAAGTCTGTTTTATCCAGACAACGCATAATACAGCTTGGGACACCGGTCTCCATTTCCAGATGAAGACTGACGGGTGTACGTTGTTTGAAAACATATCACAAATATTGAATTAGTTGATCGGCCCTTAGGTTCGGGATATTAAGGAGGTTTAACACAAAATTAAGCAGTTTTATTCTCCAAAATATTATCGGGATTAGCCCTTTAAATATATATATAAAACGATAGTTATTTTTCACCAAAGGGAGCTAGAAACCATAGAAATAACAATATCAGTATTGGTTGACATGGACTAATATTTAATTTTTTTAAATTTGTGTTTTAAATTTCGAATTTTATGGAAAATATTGAGTTATAGGTTTAGCTCCTTTAAATTTCAATACCCGTCTATTGGAGGGTAATTATTTTAACACATAGCTCCATTGGTACTTTGCTTTCAATATTATACGTCGACAATATTGTGAACAATTTTGGCTCGAGATCATAGCTTGAAAGATCAGTCAACGTTAAGTCGATTCTACTGAGCGCAGAGTAAGTTGCGAAATGGAATGTTAAACAAATGAATGAAATGGGGTTTAACGTCCTACTTTTCTGCACCAACCGGTCTAATGAAGACAGGCAGTGTGATATGAGTGAAAGTTGGCCCAGGCAGCAATTGAAATCCACTTGTCAAGGGTTCTTATACGTGCACAATAACGTGTACACGGGAGCTTGGGGTTTCGTCTCACTCATACGACTGAACGCTGGTCAGTGGCACCACCGACAAAGGTAAAAGGGTGCCAGGCTGGAATATCCCAAGACAATTTCTCGGTTAACAACGGGACCGAACACTGGAGTTCTCGTTAGTGAGCGAATGCTCCGGAGTGAAATGTTAAAGGTACTTGTTCTTGAAAGACATGACAACCTATGAACTTTATAATTGGTAAGACCTGTTATTCGTTCTACATCTGTCTTTACAAACACCGTTTTACAACCATTAATTGAATGTTAACCTTTTCAAGCAATTGAAAACAAGATGGAACATAAATAACATTTGCACGTGTTTCCTTAATTTAGCTTCTTATCTCTATAATATCTCTTACAATAAAAACTAGCGGTAGATTGTTTAAATTTATATCTGTAACAAAGATCTTTAATATTCAAGAAATTGATTGTGTCTGTAGATCTAGTTGACAGATATATTATTGTCATTAACGAGATATCGTAAATTACATTTATCTTGTTGAACACAGGTGTTGTTTAACATCTAAAACTAAGTTTTCCTCATTTTTCTTTCAGGAAAAAGGGAATTAGTGTTCTACCAATTTTAATTGGCCATCAATTACACTGAATTGACGAGGGTGAGCATACATCATACAGTGTGGCTAGAAAGCGAATTCCAACGACCAATGGTTATTTTACGTGTATGCGAACGTGTACACATGACCGCGCCCCATCCGAACGTCTGGACGCTTTTCCACACCAGACCCTCCTTCCCTTCCTATATTACTCCGGCAAGGAACATTTTCGGTCAACACTGGGATCGAACCTGCGACGTTCTGGTTAGTGAGCCAATGCCATACTTACTGAGCCACCATGACTCCTGCACGTAAGGGGGGGGGGGGATGTCCATTAACTAGCTGCAGTTATGTAAGAAGTATCCACGCAAAGTTTTCGTATAATCTAAATGACCAAACATGTCCTTGCATCAGCCACTTTGATGTTCCCCACGACAGTAGAATATTACTTCGTATCTTCTTCAATAACTCCCACTTTTGATATCAAAATACAAATTATCGTTTCATTGAAAATTTGAAAAGCTAACTATTAGTAACAGTTTTGTACGGAAATGATGCCTACGATTATCTTAAAACAGATAAAATGATCGAGAACAAGTGATATTTTATTTCTCTATGAAAGACTTGTCTATTTTACCAATGTAATTAGTAAGAACGTTTCTGTTCGAAATAAAGATAATGTAATGTACAGTCATTTTTCTTTAACCATCTCCAAATCTCACAAGTGTTGAACTGACCTTTGTAAATAACGGGGGAAAACACAGTTGTCGAAACTGAGCCCGACTGTTTGCCAGAATATGTATGGCTGTTGATGATATTGGTAGGAGTTTCATATAATTTACAGCAATGTTTCTTCAACCACCTCCAAAATCTTAGAAGTGTTGAACTGACATGGCGAGGAAGAACACTACACACATGACAAAACTGAGCCCGACTGTTTGCCAAAATGTGTATAAATCTTTGGTTGTTGATGATAGTGTTAGGTGTTTATTTACCTCGAAAAAATGAAATGACATATCATTTAATACATTTAATACACATATATATGTGAACTAAATGTGTATTAAATGTATATATATGTTTATACACATATATACATATATACATGTAATACACATTTAGTTCAGTCTACGAGAGAATTTCGGTAAACCAGTAAGGTTAACGGTGACTTTCTACCTGGGTTTCAGAACAGACTTGGAAGAAAATGTCATTCTTAAAAAAGCTTTGGTATACATCAAACCATACGAGCCTTAATTATTCCGACTCTGTCATGGCAGAATCTATCTTACTCGTAGGGAATTGGTCAAGGGTTAGCGGGTGATAAACTATGTTTGAACATCTGTATTTGAGACTGGTAAAAAGACATTTAATACAGCCATCCATACCAGCCTATAATTATTCCGGCTCTGTCTGACAACATCTACCCTACCTGGAGGGAATTAGACAGGGGTTCGTGGTTGATAAACTATGATACGAGCATCTGTGAGCTATGACTGGTAAAAAGATATATATAAAGCTACGGGAACTAATCAGTTAACAGGTTGATGACTGTATTTTGGTAGAACAACTTTTGCTTACAGATTTGTATAGCTAATTTTGAACGTATTAATTCTCCCAATATTATTACTTGGAGGAAAGACCACAGTAATTTTACAACACGGGAAAATAAATTGATTTATTTGAATACTTAACGTCGATATTATATTTAAACTTTACATACCAATGAGATGATCAAATGATTCATAATCTGAAAACGTTTTGGGACTAAGAAATGTTCACATTTAAAGACAGGACTTTTGGAAGAAAAGACAAATTAAAGAATTGACCTACCTGAGGAAAACAGTTACTCCAATTTTAGGTAAATCATCATTAATCAAATTCCACGAATCCTGCACCAATTTGATCTGTTTGGGTGTCAGGTATGCACCTAATTGAGTTTGATTAGTCCGATCATCCAGACAGGATATACTAGAAGTTACCGTATTACCCATTTTAGTAGTCAGTTACAACCGGTCGTTAAAATGTTCTCGAACTCTGCCCATTAGGGAAACATTTCTTACAAGCGAGAAACTCGCGATCACTCCTTGATGAAGATACCGAGGCATGCCAAAATGGTTTTATTAAATACGCCCCACATTTAATAAAGTCTTTGAAGGTGACAGTACCGTTCTACTTCTCAACATGACTTGGGCTTTCAAATCACGTGTGTAATTCTGTAGAACCAATCAGCAAGTCTGTAAGTAGGCTGTATACAGGCGATAATAATATGGTCGTGTTTAAACGGCAATAGTTTAGTAGTGAGAATGAAGACGAGAGAGTGGTAGCAATCTTGTATTCTATCACACTTCAGGTAATCAATGGTAAACGAAGACAGCCGATATATAGCGTCAGATTAAAGCTTGGACGGAGACTATAGACAGCTTGAGAAAACTGTAAATAAGCATTATGTCTTTGAGCCTGTCTCATATATCTATATTAAAAGCACACTGCTCATTGACATTAAGGGTATTATTATTCCGGTTTTTCTATTTGGCTACAGATCATGTTATAGAAGATCTAGGTCTTTACTAAATGACCGTCTTTGAAATTGGGCTTTATGACAATGGCTTCGAAAAGATATAAGCTAGACCAATACAATCAACAGTCTAGTGAATATACTAAACAAAAAGATGGGAAACAAAAAGAAGTGGAATGAAATATGGTTTAACGTCATACTTTTCTGCATCGACTGGGCTAATGAAGATGAGCCTACGCCATAAAGTGTGCCATGAAGGACGTTTTGCCCCAACAATGACGCTACGATCTACTATGGGTTTCTATTACGTGTACGCCAATGTGTGTACACGGGACCTCGTTTTTTTCTTTCCATCCGAAAGACTTGACATTGTCCTTGTCAAGCCCCCTGCTCGGCACCGCGTCAGGAAACAAACCGCGCAAGAAAACAAATGCTTGACTATATAAATATATGTACAAAATATTATTCTCCGGAGGAATAGGTCCGTTTAAACAACTGTACTTTTTGGTTGGTGAAGCATACATTATAATAAAGTCACGTTTTATCTATTAAGAATATTATTAATGCTCAAGTATGTTGACAATAAAGTTTAGAAAAATGACACGTTGTTGGATTTATAGTTAGCAATTCAAAATGTCACATAACTGTAGCAACAATAAAAACAATACACTGATGAACTAATTATTTTTAAAAAAAAATATTTGAAATGAAATGTGGATTAACATCCTTTTTCTCTGCATCAACTGTGTATAATGAAGTCGGGGAAATATATTTAATGTTTTCTTTCTACGCGTGTTGTAAATTTATTTCGGGAAAAGAAATTGGATTTCTCTGTGGATGTAAAATTTGAGTTTGTCATTCCATAAAGCAAGAAAATGATTTCAGCGTAGAGTATGTTACATTTTTCTAGTGCATGTCAGCTTAGAACTATATATGTTGCTGGATAATTTACGGTTTTATTAATGATTTATATTGCATATTTTACAAAGTAAAAATGTTATGCTTAAATTAGCTAAATCACTAACTCAATATTATCTATAGTCTTCGACAATGAAATCACGAACTCGAATTTAATATTGGTCCATTTCCATCAATATTGATGTAGTTATCTTACCGTGAAAATAAGAGCTCAGAGACAATGAACATTGTAACATCAGTGTACGACGTAGTTTTTTTTATGGTTATTTGTAATGGGGCCTCTTTGCGATCGAGACAGGACGTGAGTTGTTAAACCGTACCTCCGATGTAGACCGCCATTCAATTTGGGCGGCTCGTGCACGTATTTTACGGAACTTAACTAATAAGAAATTACGATATACATTTTAAAAACATTGAATGTACATTTCTTTATGTGCATTCATATTACATTAATATCTGCTTTTCGAACCATTTTGGTCCATTTTAGGTTCCATAGAATACAGAAGTAGTCCCTTTAATATACGCATACCTCGTATTAATAGTGTGTTCTGATTATGTGGTCTTGTATTTAATAAATCTTTATGGGTGACCGCATGGGTTGTAGTATATATTTATATTAGTATATTTATGAAAATAGAGGAATGTGAAGAAAACTTTGTCAGTATCTAAAACATATATTTTGATGATCTACAGGTATATATGGTGGTCAGGTCTAAATATTAAGACCTCCTGCTGAATTGATCAAGGTCAGGAGATGTAAATAGGGTTAGGGGACGTGATTCTTGACGAGATTGTGGGTTATGGTTAGAGGTAGCCCTGTTTACATCTGTTTGACGAAATCTGCAGGTGAACTTAATATTTAGATCTAACCGGTATATATTGTTTCCCAGAATTGGACAAAATGAATCGGTAAGTTACGGAAGACCATTAGGGTAAATGAAATAAAAAAAAATCTGATTATCCCCTAATTACGAGATACTATCACAATTACGGCACATTCAGGGTTAATCAGATGAAAATAAATATATTCTGATTACGACTGACCCTAATGGTCTCCCGTAGTAAGTACACAAATTTTGTTGTAATCCTTTGAACAAAAACTTGAAACATATCGTTAGGAAACCCGAACTGTTTCAGATTAAAACTGTATTAATCACTCGAACTTTGTAACTGTGTAAGATTTCGTTTATAGACTTAAAGAGAATAAATGCACTTAATTACCCTATTCCAGGTATTGCTACGCCAATATTGGGTTTCCTCTTTGCTTTAGTTGTGGACATTTTTAATTTTGATAATTAATTACACTACAAATTAAATGCCTCTCTATTTATACGCCAAGTTAAATCATTATAATATTAAGTACAACAGACATTGTCAGCTATGTGAACTCCCCCTAAGGTATCATGTTGTCTAGAAAGAGTAACCATGCCTTCCTTGTCTCGTTCACCATCCGGGGCAGTGATTTTAACCATGATTTCAAAAATCGAAGATAACGTCGCGGAAAAGACCCAGTGGTTCAATAAAAATATAAATTAGTTTCATAGACATTATAAAATATAAATTAGTTTCACCAGTTGCATAGACATTATAAAATATAAATTAGTTTCATAGACATTTAAAATTAAACTTTTTTTTAAAACTGAAAGATGAAAAATATGCAATTATATCGAAATGAAATGAATGAAATGAAATTAGTTATAACGTCCTACAGTTCTGCTCCGACTGGGCTAATGAAGACGGGCATGTGACATACTGTGTGCTATGAAGGACATTTGCCCGGACAGCGACGGTACGGCATACTCTTATATCGAATTCCAACTGCCAAAGGATCTTTTACGTGCACGCCAACATGGACTTTCTCGGTCAACGCAGGACACGTAACAAAGCGCGACAGATGGCATCTAACCGTGCTTCCAAATCGTGGTGATCGGGATCAGCCTTGAACAATAAAAACACCAGAAAGTGCATTTGCCCAATTACCCGCTCTCGGTGCAACTGCGTGACGACAAATTGAAATTCACACATCATCCGTGCAAGTGCACGTGTGTGAAGTAGCTGGACTATAACAATTTTCAATACTAACATGTATATATATATAGGGACCTTGGTTAATTTGTTAGCCATTTTCTTATTGAATGTATTGTTCAAGGAGATTTTGCAAGCAATTGTGTAAGAATTTACTTGAAAGTAGGACTCAATTTAAGAAAAGATATGCTCCAATCATGTTTATTTTATTTTTATTCAATTACTGATGCATGCAGACCTCGGTATAGAGACCAAAATCCCCATTCATTCTAGGTTCAATAGTACAAAAGTTATGAGGCGTAATGCGAAAAAAGCTGGAAATTGGCAGCCATCTTGGATTTTGGCGGGCATTTTGATTTTGTTTATCTGACTGCTTGACACTCGAAACAAAATTGTTCTATAGACCCTCACTTTCAAATTGGTACTGAAAACGAAACTTTTGCGTCGATTTAAAATGACTGGGTGCCTGGGCACCCCACTAATAGGGACAATTCTATCGGCGCGTATCTGATCGTATCTGATCGTATCTGAACGGGAGATACAGATCATGACAGAAATTGACCAGTCATGACCATATCGCATCCAAGCGCACCAACTCATAGCAGAACGTATCGGTTCGTATCCAAACGTGAAATTTCAGAGAAGTAAATAAAAATTCCGTAGTACGACAGTGGGAACCTAGCATAAACAAACAGTTGACAGCGTGTTTTGTCTTGATCACATTGCAGTAAGTAAATAGTGGGCGTAACTGAAAGCCAAGGGAGATTTGGTGCACACCAGAAAAGGATGGGGCTACATAAATGGCAAATTAACTTTGATCCATCCAGTATTTGATTGTCATAGAACGGAAACTAAACAGTTGACAGGGTATTTTGATCTCGATCATCTAGTAATACGTGTTATAGTCGACAGAGTGGTAGGTCAGTATACATTCGGTGGGGACGATTAGACATGGATAACAGCAGTGGCGAGGAACACCAAATTATACCAAAGATACCTTTGTTAGTATATAGATTATTGCCCCTTTTTTAATCCGCCCACATATTGGCTTGACTATCATACAAATGGTCCTTATCACGTGTTAAAATGGTCGATCTTTCAATAAGGCATTATTATTGATATGGAATAAAAATTCAAAATCCTTTGTAATCGGATAGAATTTCTTTTTTGAAACAACTGAGCCGTCATTTGCAAGTATAATTCAAATCATTATATCACGCTTCAAAAGAGTGCGCACTTTTATTATTGGTGTATAGCAAAATATAGATTATAAAGAAATTCTGATTATATATAATAATCTAGTTCATCAATACTGTTGTAACGAATCGACAATTATCTGTTTTTCTTAGAAAATTTAGTCCGTTGCACATAAAGTACATAACAGGAACTAATGAATAATTAAATGGTAATGTATAGAGCGATACCTTTATGGAAAAAATACATACAGTATAAACATTGTCCTGACTAATGGGATATAAAATATCGGTTAATATATGTAGACTAGAAATGGACAATTCAAATCTTTTAATGCCAGGAGAGATTCTAAGACCAAGGATAAAAAAGGACACACTAATCGCCTAATTCCCCCATGTTTGAGCCTGGGTGTGTCTGTCCATTTCCAAACACCCGGTGTCGCGGTTTGACATGGTCGTATCCTTGTGTATGGGACGTGAATCTGTTACACACTTATTTGGTTCCCTGTTTTCGAATATCAATTTATAAAATACTTCAATCTGTTTCAAGAATAAAAGTATCGAAGAGTCATTGA